GACGGAAGGAAAGACGGAAGGAAAGACGGAAGGAAAGACGGAAGGAAGGAAGTACCTAATTTTATCAAAATACCAAAACAATCACAGAAATACTCCTGCTTATCTTGCAGTTAGCAGCATCAGCATTTGTTTTTCCAAAGGGCACTAAGGGTCCTACAGGCTCCTTTCTTCAGGAAACAGTGTCAGAAAACATGACACAGCTTTAAACCAGGCTCTGGAAGCTAATCCTGAAGCACTTGAACATTAAATTCTCACAGTATTAACATGCCCTTTTATTACCCTACTTGAATTTTTTCACATTGACCTCTAAGTCAAGATTCTCCTGGCAACTGGTCATTTTTATCTGTGCTCACCAATTGAGCAAGCAGCTTAGGAAAGTGAGAGGCTCCTTTTTTCCAGTCTGTTCCTCTATGTAAACCTCTCAATTGACTCCCAGGCCAAGATGCCTACTTTTTTGCAAATGGTATGTGTGATTAAGCTTCAGCTACAGAGAGAGCAAAATTTTGCCCCAGAAAATAACTTATCTGCAGCCTTCAGAAGCAGAAAAAGTATTTTCTAATCTCTATCAGTACAGTTGTGATGCTAAAAGTAAGAGAAGTTCAAAATGTAAATGCTCTTTTTCCTATTTATGAATATGCCTGTGTTAACCATCTTGAAAATGCACCTAGATTTAATGTTTGGAATCTCAGCATTATCTCAGACGGTTTCTCTCTACCTGGATTGAGTACCAAAGCCTTTGGAGTTGAACAAAACCTGTACTGAGCAACTAATTCCAGAACATAATTAATTATTTTATATTTATGAAAAATTTTGTAAGGAAGCAAGAATCAGAAAACTAAAACCAATTCATGCCCTTTTAGACCTCAGTTTTACCACAGATATATCTAAAAGTAAGCTCTGCTTCTGTTTGGGGCTTCATGGGTTTTAATATGGAGAGGAGAGGCAATTGAACCACAAGATCATTGGTTCCTTTTAATTAGGTATTTACTACAATGGTATTTAAACCTTAAATTCACTAATCCTCTGCACTCAGAACTCCACAAGAAGAATGTGAGCAAAGATATGGTTTAACCTGTAGGAAAGTAACATTAATAATAAGAGTCTGCATAATATTATGCGACATTTCCATGGCAGGGTAATGGAGAGTGCTTTTGTTCAGGAAATAAAACAACTTCCTTAATAACATATCAGTTTTTTCCCTGAACATTACTTGCTTGCCTATTCCTCAAGAATTCCAGAAGACTGAGGTAAGAGAGTCAGATACCTGAAGAAAGATGGTCTTTCTCTTTGCCAACACTCTTCTGTCAAAAATAACCAGAGTTATACTTTTATTTAGGTTCTATTTACAAAAAAATTTTCTTATAGTGGCAATATTAACTCAAATGTTTAGAGTAAACACATATTTAAATGTCGTTATGCTTGCAGATATGTTTAAGCGCTCTGTTAAGGGCAACAGCTCCTTTAACAAGATAAGCTTGAACTTGTAAAGAGTTTCCAGCTGTGACAGGCTATTTTGTACCAAAATGACTATGCACACCTGCAGGAGAAAGGCAAACACACCCTTTCATGGCCACTGAAAGGTCTGAGCTATCAAGACAGACATTTCTTACAAATGATCAACAAATTGGGAACCTTTCCAAAGCACTTGTCTAATTCGCATCACCTGCCAACTAAAAGCAAAAAAGAGAATTCGTACTTAAAAAAAGCAGGGACACAGGAGAACTATTGATGACCTCATGTTCCTTACCAGAAAGTTTAAGTTAAGTTTAAGGGAGGGAAAAAGAAACCAGCTAGGTAATCCAGGTTCCACCACCTGACCACCTACAGTTTCACATTTCATGGAATTACAGAATCAATTAGGTTGGAAAAGACACCTGAGATCATCAAGTCCAACCCTTGACTGGACATATCAACTAGATCATGGCACTAAGTGCCACATCCAGTCTTAAACACCTCCAGGGATGCTTACCTCACCACCTCCCTGGGCAGTCTGTTCCAGTGCTTGACAACCCTTTCTGTGAGGAAATTCCTCCTAATGTCCAACCCAAATCTCCCCTAGTGCAGTTTAAGACTCTGTCCTCTTGTCCTTTCGCTGGTTGCCTGGGAGAAGAGGCCACCCCCCACCTGACTACAACCTCCTTTCAGGTAGTTGTAGAGAGTGATGAGATCATCCCTGAGCCTCCTTTTCTCTAGGCTAAACAAACCCAGCACTCTCAGCCATTTCTTATAAGACTTACCCTCTAGACCCTTCCCCAGCTCCATTGTCCTTCTCTGGACTTGCTCCAGCACTTCAATGTCCTTCTTGTAATGAGGGGCCCAGAACTGAACACAGCACTCGAGGTATGGCCTCACCAGTGCCAAGTACAGGTGCACAATCACTGCCCCGGTCCTGCTGGCCACACTATTCCTGATACAAGCCAGGATGCCATTGGCCTTCTTGGCCACCTGGGCACACTGCTGGCTCATGTTTAGCCATGTCAGCTGTTGACAATGTATCATCCATCCACATTTCATACTTCCTGTTCCTTCTGCACCTGGTCTAGTGAAAGGTGCCCCTGCCCCTAGCAGTGGGGTTGGAACTGGATGATCTTTAAGGTCCCTCCCAACCCATACCATTCTGTGATTCTATGATCTGGCATCCTGGCCCATGGATTGAACTATTTAGGCTTTCTGCAATTTGGAGGTAAGTTACAGCAATACTCAGTAAACCCAAACCAGTTTAAATTCTTGGAGCATAGCAATTGTATCAGATTTAGAACAAGCTACAGAAGAAATGCCACAATTTAACTAAAAAACATAAATGAAGGATTACATATACGTATATATATATATTTATATATACACACCCCCTACTATTTCTGGGCTTTCTTATACAAGTAAAATAGCTAATCTTGGGAACTAAGCATTTAAGCTTAAGAGCAGGGATCTAGGGTCTCTCCCTTGCAGTTGTGCTCCCAGTCTCAAAGCTACAGACACATACTCAGTTTTTCTCTTGTGATCTCAGTGATATTTCAATGCCTGGTTACACAGTGAGACAACTTCAAAGCCTTGTAGTGGGCTGTTTTCTTTGGGGGCACCAACCGTTCCTCAGGAAGATAAAGATTTGAAGCCCTGCATATTGAAGGGGGCCAGGAACTTGGGTTTCCCACTCCGTAGAAGTATGGCAACCAGAATTAACATGCAGAGCAACAGTACACAAGTCCCAAGGAACAGGCAGAACAACTGTAAAAAAGTCCCAGGGAAGAATATATTTGCATCTGGATCACCTCTGAAACCTTCTAATTTTTCAGTTGGTTAATTGAAGAAATCCATTATTTTCACATTTCAGTATGCAAGTCAAACAACTTCACATTCAAACTGGCAGTCTGCATACCCACTGAACACCAGGGTTTTAGCCTGCAGAAGTCTACTCGGAACAGATCCTCTGATATGAGGCTGCCTGTATGACAAAGCAGCACAGCTGGTTCTGCAGCCTCCACTTTGAATGAGACTACATTTTCACTTCTACAAGAGGTATCAAGCAACTTTTAGAGGACAGGTTTCCATTTGTACTTACAGAAGCCGCACCTGGTACCCCCTTCAAAGATGAATCCGTTTGGGACAGCTCCATACCGGCGCAGATCTGAGAGCTTCCACTGCCCCATGACACTGGGAGGAAGGTCTTTTGCAAGGACAAGAATGTCATTGCAGAAATGCAGGGTAGCAGGCCCACTCTCTAGTTTGGTGCCAGGTGCTACAAAGACTTGAAATCTATGAACTATCAAATAAGGAAGAAAAATATTACTGTACAATATACAAGTAAGGTACCACGACTTAAGTTACATAGGTCATTTCCATTCAGCTGTGGTTCTTGGACCAACCCCTGCCCACACCAGGAGACTCTAACATAAAGATTCTACATGGAGCCCAGACAGCCCCATGAAAGTAACTGTAAGCTCCCTACCCTCTATTATGCCAGTTTAGAATTGGAAAAAACCCACTGTATCTTGGTTTGATGCTACAAATTATTAGTTGTAATGCTACATTAATTAATCCTAAATCTTCCAGGCCACTCCATATCTCAGATTAGTCAGTTATCCAGCACACATTTCACTTACCTCTTCCATCCCTGCATCACTACACAGGTTTCTTTCTGTCTCCTCATCTAAACTGTGTTATTCCTTTCCTACGTGCATGTACACAAATAACACGATGCCCAAAACCCAAGGCTCAAAGAATTAGGCAAATTCTAACCAGATCTCTATCACTGACTCATTTGCAACCTTTAATAAATTGCTTCATATCTTCCCTAGCAGTAAAACGAGGAAAATTACATTTTTCCACCTTTGTGATTCTTTTAGGAGTTGGTGATGGTAGATGCCCAGACATTTAAAATTACTAGGAAATTAAATGATTCATAGGTAATAAAACACTTTTAGGTGTCAGTTAATTTTTCATATTTCACAGCCTAAATTTCAGAGGAGTGGAGAAAAAAAAAGTTTACAAATTTCAGGTTCAAATCCCAACTCCAGTATTCCCTATATTGCAAGGGTCCTTACCTAAAGTAGCAGTTATTCTACGCTGGTCTCCCATTCTGTCTTGCAGAGCTATTGCATTCTGAATAATAAGTTATTGGGATCACTGCAAGGGCTCAAATCTCAGTGTTTCAAAGGGAGCAATTTAAGTGAGCAAGCATATAATTCTCAAACAATAATTTCGACCTCCACTAGTCCTCTAGTTTCTTTCATATTGTGATTAGACAACAAAAGAAGAAAAAATAACACAGAAAAATAATTATAATTTAAAAACAACACCACCCAAAAAAACCCACTTGTCTTAGCAGAGAGAAGCATCAAGACTGTTACATTTCCCAGCAGAGTTTTTTAGCAGAGTGTTTATCAAGAAGCACATAGATTTAGCTTTTGGTTATGTATTAAAGATCATACAAAAAGCTCCTTGCCTACGAAATCTACAGGGTAACTTCCAGGTAGTCTCAGTTCTTACAATCACTCTTCCCTGTTTCTTGCCCAGACCTCTCCAAGCATCACTCATTTCATCTCGGTCTGAGTCTTGCTTCTCATCTAACTTCTTGCTATATTCTTAGTTACGATCTGAGCTGTAAGTCAACTCCTCATCTATGACATGCATTTGGTAAGTTCCCTGAGGCTCCAGCAGAATTAGCCACAAAGTCATTCGAGTGAAATGTGCAAGGAGACAGAGATAGATCTAACTAACCACAGCTCTACTTACAGCTCTGCCAGTAGTGCTGCTAGGGAGCAAATCAATAGTCACACGATGTCCCCTTTTGGGCACATGGTTGTTATGCAACCTGCTTAAACATAAACCATGAAAAAGGCAGCAAAACCATTGTGATGAGGAACGCTCAGTAAGGAATCTTTAATATCATTTGGACCCCTCTGCTCAGTTAACTCTGCCCAGGACTTTGCTGACAATTAAACTGCGGGAGCAGAAGCATCAGGGTTCTTCCTGCTTCATAAATTAGGAATGGAGCCCACTCTTCATACAATCAGTTGCAAGTTACAGCAGCTGCTGAAAACAAAGAGCTCCATCTCAAATTCTAGACCACTGTCGAAACACAGCATATCCAAATATGAACAAAGCCAAAGTAGAAGAAAAAGCATATCTGAACATGAAGCTTTCTCCATATGCCGCTTTCTTGGCAAATTGGATTTTTTTCCAAAATTCTCCCCAGCCATCAACTTCTCCTATTCTATGAAAGAAAAAAAAATTCTTGAAGACATAGAGCTGAATATACCCATGAACAGAAGGTACTACTTAAATTCCTCATTTTCTTCAGCTAATCTTTTCCTCTTCACAGCTATTCACTGACCTGCAGTATGCTAAATTCTCAGAAAGAGTTGAGGGAGGGCTCAAGAACATTCCAGGAATCACATCCACCTCATCTGGCTAAAAACTGAGAGAAAACACTGGGAATTCCAGTGTGAATGCTTCTATTCTGTGGTCCTCATTCAAGAACAGTGTCAACTCCTTTCACTTTTTTTTTTTTTTTTGCTTCCCAGACTCTGAGGTCATCTGTCTCTTGCCTATTTTTATCATCCAGCCACCTTACTTTCAAGGCACACAAAGGCACTCTTACTACACTTTAGGAAAAAAAACTAGTCACCATCCTCTCTTCATCTAAGTCTCCTCTCTTTTTTATTTCTGTCTACTCAAACTAGACTCACTTTAATTTGACTTCTTTCTCCTAACTGAAGCTTCACTGAAAGATAAAATCCTGGAAAAAATTCTATGCTCTGGTTTAGTCTCCTTCCTCTAAGCTTTTTTTGCAATTAACTTTCTACAAATTATTGTCATTTCAACCAATTATACTTGTTGTCTTACTTGTGCATTTCTCCACTTCCACACAAATTCTCTTCCCCCACTTCATCTTTACTCCATGGCTGCACATGTCATCATCCAATAGCCTCTATTCCTACCTCATTCACAGCTTTCCTTGAAAAAAACTCTTCACTGGTTTTGTATTTCCTCCAATTACAACCATAAACCTCACACCCAGGTTGAGATTACTTTGTTCATCCCAGCACTGCATCAGTGCAAGATCATAAAAACCAGACCTACCCTGTCAAATTCAAATTCTCCTTGAGGTTCTAGGACAAGTTTATGCTATATATGGATCTCAAATCTAAAAAAAAAAAAATAGAACTGGAAGACAATATAGCTGTATCATCTAAGTGTACTAGTGACTCCAGCTACTTTTGCTGGTATTGTTCAGAAACCCCCGTAACCTTTTCTGTTATGCAAGACTTCATATTCGATAGCTCTGAGAGGTACATCCACACATCTCACTTCTGATACTTCTACATTTTTTTACTGAAAAATTCCCAGGCCATCTTTCAACATATGTACTGCAAAGGAAGAGCCACAAACCCAACAGATGGCACAGCATATGTAACAAATGATAAAGATGGCTAATGTGTGTCTCCCACACACCTACCCTCCTTCCCTAGTTATGACTAAACAAACATAAGACAGATACTATGGATTACCAATATCATCACTCTTTGTTCACTACTGTACATTTTAGAGCTGCTAACCAAGAAAATAAAATAAAAGGATGCAGAAAGGTGAAGTTAGCTGGAGAGAATAGGTCTGATGACAATCATTATTGCAAGAAGTCTCTTTCTGAAATGGAACACTAGCAGCAATAAGCACTATCAATGCAACACCTAGTGGGTGGGCCTGAACTAGCCAAGTACAACTCAGAACTCTGCATCTCTTAATTCATGTTCCCAGAATCCCTGAGTAAACTGTAGGACCAAGTCTGATCACTTTGTTTCAAAGCTACACACTGTCAGTGCCAAAATCAAAACCTAAGTTAAGAGGTCTCATAGTTATCCATCAGTATTGGGCAGTACTGTAGTCAAAACCTATCATAAGGGACACCTGCTTTCATATCTAAGGGGAAGACCAGTCTCTTCACTCTCAGATGAGTGAGAGCCTTTTCCTGTACTTTTTTATTTGCATTTTAGTTTTGCTTTTCCTTTGTTTTTTACCCCATAGGGGCGGGGGGAGGTGTGGGGGGAAGGTGCAAGAAGACAGAGGTTACCTTCCCCCAAACTGTAGCGTATTCGTACATCCCATGCGTACATTGTTTCCTTGTTCTCAAATCCCAGCATCACAACTTGAGAGAGACAGATGATTGCGAGTGTGTGATTCAGGCCCTCGTAGGAGAGCCCAGGCTCCAAGCCACAGATGTCTTCTAAGGTCATGCTGCTCCTCTCCTTGTGCCCTTTTGCTCGTTCAGATTTATCCTTGTACACCAGCATGAGCAAACAGTCTGAAAGAAGCAAAACTGTCAGAGATGATGAGGCAGAGCATAGACCATAACACATTTCTCAGCATTCTGCTGCAATACAAAGGTGCTTTAGAAAACTGCATGAAGTCAATGTAAGAACTCAGATTCCTTTTCCCACTCCACCCCCAGGTAGTTTGTAGCCTTTGTTTTCAGGAAGCAAACACTGAAGACATGTTCCAAGAGTAATCTGCAATCAGGAAATAAGGAAGCCAGTAATAAGTCTTCCCTATTTTACTCATCAAAGTCCAGTGGTTTTTTTCAGATACTCTCCCAAGTCTGGCAGGGACTGACTCATTAATTCTGAACATTAGGAGTTATGCTATGATACTGTTCACATTACAAACTCTAAGGATCGAGAGGCTATTGTCATCTGTATTTCCATTAGAACATACTGAACCACAAATGAAATTCTTACAGTAGCTCACAGATTACCCAACTACTAAATGGCGAGCACTGCGAGATTGTTCATGCCGGCTCAGGTTTCCCAGTTAAATGCTACACAGTAGCCCTTGCTAAAAATCATTATGTGACACACCTTCTTTTATTTATTTATTTTTTAATGTTTGCTTGTCTCACCAGTTGTTTTTAACCCCTTCCTAGAGGCGTTTATTACACAGAAACTATGCAACAGAAGAAGGCAATTCCAGTGCCACAGTCCCACAGGAAAAGCACATTTCACAAGCAAATGCAAAAAAAAAACAAGAAAAAGGGGAAGAGACCTCTCCCACTTTTTGCATTTATGACAAAAGCAGCCCTCTTTCCTCCAGGTTCCTTTCCTATCACCCAGCACTCAGCAGTAAATTAAATTAATTGTCAATACCAAAGCTGCAACATCCACAGCTTAAACTGAGCTACAAACCACAGAGAGAAAGACCCCCTGCACCATTTTATGAATGTTGGGGTGTGGTGCTCTGAGCCCTGGCGAGGTGCCCTGGGGCTCTCAGCTGGGCAAGGACTGGCAAATCTCCAAACAGATGAAAAATGACTGAAAGACTGAACTGTCTGCTAACTAATGCAGAGCTTTGCATGCATCCCCAATTGTCTTTGTGCACCTGTTAGCAAAAACAGCTGCAACCACGATGTTTAAGCATTCTACAATACAGTTGTGTGTCTGAAGAAACAACATCTATGGTTTACGTAGCGAGAAAATCAAATCAGTGGGGGCTTTTTTTTTGTAAACCTGGCTAATTTAGCTAGAATAAAAATATTACTTTTGAGGAATAAGCTACAATGAGTTCATCGATAGATGAGGTTCCCTCATCTATCCTCTTCAAACTTGGCTTAGTTGTGTTAGAAATCCAGGCCCACATTCACGTGTCCGGATATCAGCTCTAGGATCAACACATGCCCTTTCACACAGAGAAGTTTCACAGGTTCAGATGAGATATAGGTATTTAAGACACTAAAAAATTACTGTAACAGCTCAGGTAACATGAATTAGGTTTGAAGAGCTTCAACTACTATGAAACCTTCAGCCTAGAAAAGACACCGTAATCCATTCTGCAGCAATGCAGATTCACATTTTCTAAGTGACAACGTTTAGCCCTGAAAAGATATACTTTTGGGCCCAAATGTTTTCTCTGTTGGGAATAGATGGGAAAACCCAAAACCCACTTTTCTCTCTGCAGCAGTAAAACATCAGCTCTGTGTAAGATTTTCAACTTCCCCTTCAGAAGCATGGAAACGATCTTTCTTTTTTTTCTTTTTTTTTCCCTTAATTCAAAATGTCATTTTATTTTTAAATTGAAGTGATATTTTCTGTCAAAACACTGATCAAAAATAACTACCAAGCTTACAATGCCAGCTTTTTTTTTTTACATACACCCAGCAATCACCCTGAAGAAATAATAATAATTCAAAAAAAAAAAAAGAAAAAAATTTCATTTTAAACGGGCACCAAACCCAATGACTCTGCCTTGGAAAGTCACTTTTCCCGTTGGTTTTAGCCTGGCATTAAGCTGCGCAGGAGCTCGCCCCGAGGCCAGACAAAACTTTTGGAGAGCCCTGCCAAGGGTGCGCACCCCGAGGGGAGCCCTGAGAGCCCCAAGGGCCCCGAGCCCTGTCCCCCACCGCCGGGAGGAGGAGGAGGAGGGACACTCCTGCCCTGCCTCCCCCCAGCCCGGGCCCCCTCTTACCTGCCACCGGGGAGGGCTTGCGCAGCACCAGCCACCTGCTCTTCCACTGCAACGAGAGGCAAAGGGACAGGGTTAGCCAGGGCCGGGCGGGGGAGAGCGGGCTCTCTCCCCTCGGGGGAAAGGGGCGTCGGTCGGGGACCCCCGGCCCCGCGGGGCCGAAGGGGCGCTCGGAGCGGGGACCTTTTTTCCGTCCCTCAACTTGACGTGACCCTCCACCACCACGGAATCCGTCATCTTCAGTCATGATTCCGGACAGCTGCGCCGGCTCGCTGCGCCCGCCCCACGCTCCGGCCGCCCGAAGGGTCACTTCCAAAATAGCTTTAGGAGGGCCCCGCGCGGGCGGCGCGGCACTGCCCGGCCCCTCCGCGCTGGGGGGAAAGGGGGCCCCGGGAACCGTTTCACTGAACTTCTTTGTTCACGTATTTTACTGTACGGGTGGTTTTGGTTTGCTTGTGGGTTTGGGTTTTTTTTTTTTAATCATTATTCTTTTTTTTTCTCCAGGGTTTCAGAGCGGGAGGCGCGGGCCGGCGCATCCGGAGCGTCGCAGCCCCGCTTGGGCCGCCTTGGTGGATCCGCTCCGGGCGGGACCCCCGCCCTGATCCGACTCCGGGCTTTGCAGCCGCCCGGCGGGGCAGCCCCACTCCGGGCTTTGCCGCTGACCCGCCCTGGGCTGCCCCGCTCCCGGGCGGCCGCAAAGCCCGGCCCGGATTTCCCTCGCGGAGCGGGGCCGGCCGAAGCACTCACTGCACCTTCCTTATAACGCCCAATTCTCACTTTTCAAAAGCGTAATTACAGCTCTCCTTGGCTCCCAGAAGACATGCAGCCAAGTAGCCCAGATAAAAATAATCTTCTCTTTTTTTTTTTTCTTCTTTGCAATGCAACTGTCATGAGATAACAACACGCTTCTGCCAAGCCCAGAGCAGCTACAATTAATGGAATAAGATGTGTTAATGATGTCCTCAGATTTACTTCCACGAGCAATGGACTAATTAGAGTCCATTATTCCAAAAATACTCCTGCTGCATCTTATTTGATGGTAATTAGTTCTTCAGCTTTTTTGAACAGCACCACAGCACATTTTTCTTTCAATAGCATAATACAAGGGATTTTTAGATGTTTGAATTTATTTCTTTCCTTTCAGTCGATCAGTTTGCATGGAATAACACACAATTTAATAAAACCATCTTTAAGCATGTTTCGTAATGAATTAGGAAAGTGTTTGTTCCACTGGCTTTGCATTCCAATTCAATTTCAATATAAAGTTAGGAAAAATATCAGATAAAATTTCACTAGTACATCTAAGTTGGACTTTCATTTTAACCAAAGTCATAATCTCTTCAAGGGGGTGAAAATTATGGAAGCTGAGTTTCCATGGGGTAATGCTCAACAGAAAGACAGAAGGCAGAAGGTGCTGGAGTGCCCAGTAGGAATGTGACTGATGTCAGGGGTGTGAGAGGTCGGGCAAGGACATCTCACTTATCCTGGTCATTTCCTTGTCACCCCTACTGTAGGTTTGTGCATTTAATAGAGTGCTAGTCACCATACAGCTGATGCTAAATTAAATGTTTTTAATTTAGTTCCACAAAGTCAATGCAGTAACAGTGGACAAACAGGCTGCTTTGAAAGCCACAAATTGATTTTAATGCATTCAAAGTATTACAGTATCAATTGGAGATTTGCTATTTAGACCTTTGAGGGCAGAAAACAGACCATTCAATATACTTTTTTAAAAGGTGTTATTGTTTGTTTTGGTGTTGCTGTGTAGTGATACAAGCAGCACAGATTTTGAAAACAGGACAGCTAAAAAGCTCTACACAAATTGTCAGAAACACAAGTCTAACACCTTTCCAATCAAACAGCCACCTTTAATGCAACAGAAGACCAAGAGAACACATATAACACAAACCCAGAAGATCAAAGGTATGCATAGTGTGGATGGATATTAATTTCAAAGTGAAACTGAAGTCACAGAACAGATGCAGATGTTCTGAATGGCTTCAGCTTTAAGTGGAAACCTGTTCCTGATGAATCCCTCCCAAAGAAGAGTAAATAATTCCTTCATGCTGATTTAGTACTTGTCTTTCAGCAGCAGGTACAGTTGGTCTTGTTACATGGTCACATTCATTTCAGGGAGTTAAGCAAGCCAGACTCATACTGCAAATGGCCAGGAAGGCAAAGCCAGACAAGAGTCTTCAGCTTGTTTGGGAATCAAGACCCCAGAGGTGGATCTCAGTTTTTCAAGCTAGTGTTTAGTGCTTCAGAAAAACAAACTAAAGACTTTGATCTTAGGATTCACAGTATTCATAGCTGAAAAACATATCCAAGCACTTACATCTGTCTACTGGAAATTTGTGTGGCACTTGCATAAAACTGGGAGCACCACCAGCTGAAAATGATCCTTGTGCCCAACTTTTCAGATGTCTTCCAGCACAAAGTGTTATTTCATGTTTCTATCAGCTCTCAGCCTTTAGAACAACCTACAGAGGGATTTAAAGATTTTCTTGTAACTTCATACATAACAGACTAAGTCCCAGAAACAGAGGGTAAATGTTTTTATTAAACAGTTTACATCATTCTTCTAGATTAGCATTGTTATATATTTGTATTTATACAAATTCAGGGTTTGGTTATTTTTCCTTACAAAGTTTCTTTTAACTGCAGATATCATTCACCACTACTAAGAAACCCATGAGGACAGTGCCAGTGCTATAAAACAAAACATATAACTGAGTATCTAGGCACCACTTTAAAATTCTGTATCTTAAAGCACAACTTTGCTTGAAACTCTTAAGAGAGTTCATAAGTGTTCATTACCAGGGGAGAAATACGTTTCACATCAACACTTCAAATGTACAGAGCTGACATGGCTAAAGGTTCCATGTATTAAAAAAAAAAAAATAGGCAGTTGGAATTTTCCGTTCTTTGTCAGATTTTGTTGTTGTTGAATAATTTTCTTTTTTTGCTAACACAGCTGAGTCCATGGCCTCTAAACAGGTATATATTTTAATAATTTCGTTGATTGTTCCCATAACAGTTCCACAGACCATGACAGCAAGGCCTGTGGTTTATGATATTACCAAATCCCCAAGGAAAATTTCAAGCTGCTCCCCCAGCCATCCACTTGAAATATCTGTTAAGAAAAACCTCCTTTCTGAATTATCTAAACAGCTGAACAACTTGTTAGTACAAAATCTAAGACATCTTCAAAACACTGTCAAATCAGGCACGGCCTAAATCAGGTGCTCCAAATTCCAACATTTTTCAGCAAAAAACATTGAGCTCCCAGGAGGGGAGCTGAAAAATTGCACGCCAGATTCGGCAGAGCTCTGAGGCACATTCTCGATTTTATGTCAGTGAAACATAGTAATATGTTAATACAAAAATATGCTTACATGTTTGGTTGAAACAAAAACTAAACCCTCTGGGTTTTTTCCCCAGAAGTGGTTTGTTGCAGTTAGCTGAGGAGCAGCTTTACCTACATTATTCTATAGGTGTCTGTTGACCTGAACTTCAAGAGATGACTTCTGAGGGAGAGGGAATCTCATTTTTGGTGCTCCTCCTGTTTATTTCTCTATCTCATCTGAGAATACAAGTACAATGTTGTTATGGGTTGGTTTGGGGGGTGACAGCTCCACCAGAAACTGCATAAACACATCAGATCACTTTTTATGTAATCCACCAGGCAGACGGAGAGTTGTAGATTTTTGTGCACCGTCTCAACATTTTTGGTTTTTTTTTTATTAAGACAAATAAAGACAGTCATGTATGTTGAGCAACCCACAGCCCCAGAATTCTAGATCAAGGTTGCTGACATCAGATGGAGCAGGCCTACTTTAGTGGTCTGGCTTGGAATTGCTATGAATTACCATGACAGTTTTCATACCAGCTTATAATAAAATACTTATGCCAGTTTAATGAAACCAGAAGACTCCTGAACCCTGCTTCAAATGTTAGCATATTTAACTGTTCAACTAGTTTTTCGGGGGGCTATTTTCTCATTAATCCAGTTTACGTAGTTTGTCACTCGTGTATATACTCCAGGTTTGTTGACTCTGCCACAGCCATCTCCCCAGCTGATAACTCCATAGAGGTAAGAGATTTCATTTTCCTCACAGGCCAGAGGTCCGCCAGAATCTCCCTGTATTAAAAGTAAACAAAGATTATCTAATTTGATAGAAAGCAGTCAGAAAAAGATCAGTTTGGGAAAGTCCTAAATTAGGAATGTTTGCATGTGAAGTTTAAACTAAAAAAAAAAAAAAGGAAGCATCAGTGTACTGAAGTTTTGTTATAGAAAGCTTGTTTAGCCATACTCACATCTAATATAATGGATTTTTTTAATTACACTGAACAAAAGTATCAGATTTTGTTTAAAAATAGAAAATTCTTTTAGATTCAGATACCTTGTGAAAAGCACAGTTGATTGAGATCACTTTCAATGGGATTAAGCAAGCCTTTGAGGATTGGCACTATGCTGTAATATCAGCACTGTATGGATGGGTTACATGGGTCCATTTGGAGAGTTTCGCGATGCAGTTTATTGTAACTGTCAGAGAACATGAGAGTTTTCAAAGAAAGGTGTTGCATATAGACACACTTTTCCATGTGACTGTGGGATGCTGTAATTTTATGTGGCATATGGGGTTTTGGCATCTGTTGAATTTGATGCTACTGAGCATTTACCTTGTCATTAAAACCATAAACTGAAAATCAGCCCAAACTACACTACAGCAAGGATGAATTTGGAACATTTTTACTTATTTTAAAGCTTGCAAACATTCAGGACATGGGTTTTTATTGTTATTATTATTATTACTCTCAGACAGACTTTCTACAGGAATTAAAATGTGAGAAATGAAAAATGTGTACCATTAAATGGTACTGGTGAAAGAGCCACTGCTTTTATTTGAGATGAAGGAGAAATATATTTTTTTCCTATTTCAAAAGAAAATTCCTTGAGAGCAAAATACATAGGAAAATTGTGTTGCCTTTATACTAGGAGATTTCTGTGATAAATGATGGACGTCAAATGAACTCTTGCACCTGAGATCAATTTACTTCTCAGAATCTTGCTTATTTTCCACAATTAGTCTCATTGATTGCAATTTTGGTATCAGTGCACTGATCAAAAAAAATGTTGCAAGAAAATCTTTAAAAAATAATCAAGCAAAACACAATATCTGCTTGGCATTTCTTGATCTTGAAATATTTTTATACAAAACACATGGTTTACAGGTTAATACCCTAAGTGTACATTGAGAAAGCCTGGAAGTCAGCTACATCTGTTGTGACATTAAGAGGTCTACACTATTTCTCCTCAGACCACACTACAAGTCTGACAACAGGGAAAAAAATAATTATTGATTCACTAATAATTATTTCATGTCATGAGCACTGTTCTTCAGCAACATCTGTGACTCTAAATCGCTCTTTCTCAGCCTTTGCAATTCTCTCCAGGTGACCCATCTTTGTGCAGCTCCTTTCTCCTTCCCTCTTTTTTCTTCTTTCTCCTTCTCATTCCTGATCTCTGTTTTTCCAGGACAGGGAGAGAGAATCAGCTGTGATCCTGCCTCTTGTGTTTGCACTTCCTGGGTAAGGCAAGGAAAGCTGAGCAAGCAGGGTAGTTTCCAGGCTATAGTATGAACACTTGCAGATAGTAACTACCATCAGTATTCAGCCTGGAAATCTTGAGCCACTGCTGGCTGCTGCCATTTCAGTCTTGACACCTTTCTTTGGATAGGTTTATGACATGTGTATGGGGCTATAGGGCTTCCAGCACACATTATGCATGATATTTTTTGCTGCACTTAATCTCACTGCCAACCATTAGCTGTGTGCTAATTTTCACAAATTTATGCCAATACAGCATAACCCTCCTCCTTCAAAATGAACTGAGTATAAAATCTGAAGTTTTATGTAAGGAATAATATCTGATCCTTCATTTCAAAAAGTTTCACCTATCACCACAACAATTCTGCATCCTCTGCATTCAGAGTCAAGCTATGACATAATTCAGAGCAGTAAGAGCATGCAGCTGTGTGATTGTTCCTTGAAGGACTGAGGTTACATAACACAGTTTCCAATTGACTGGTGTTCTACACCATTCAATCCCATCCACTGTAGAAACCTCAACTCTTTCCTTCTCCAAACTTCAAGACTGCTCCTCACCTCCTACCCAGGTGTCCTTATTTCCCCTCAGGCAAGAGGCATCAGCTCAGGGAGTTGGCCCCACACAGGTTTGTGCCAGTTGTCCCGCCAGCACATCCCTGCCAGCACATCGCTGCCAGCTGGCCAGCAAACCATTGCCACCACCTGCAGGCTCACCCAGGAGCTAAAGCAACGCATCCAGTGCATTGCCACTGCCTTTTGTGAAGGTAGGAGTAATATAACACCCTGTAGCTCTTCTTAGTTGACATGGAACAGGTTAAAAAAATAAAGGTGGAAGCGAAGAGTGCAGCCACATAAGGTTCTTTTCTTTAGGAACATTTCTTTTCTTTAGGAATACCATAATATCAAAAGTATCAGTTGTAACACTGCAACATTTCTGGCCATAATATACATTTCTATCTTCTACCTAGAGATGACTCATAGCATTACCTGACAAGCATCAGATTTACTATCAAAGTAGCCAGCACAGAACATATTTTCAGTGAGTTCTGTTCCATAAATTTCAGGACTTCTGCACTTCTCCTCAGGAATAAGTGGAACCAGTGATTCTTGCAGGACATCTGAATAACCAGTTATATCTTTAAAGAAATCACAGGGAGGAAAAGAAAGTCATTTTTATAGAATGTCAATAACATGAAAACACAAGGCACAATACAACATATAAACACACAACGCCTCTCAGTAATCGTGTTGTGGATATCTTTAAAAGATAATAATCTTTATAGTGATCTTTCTGATCCTCCAGTCAGACTCTGTGCCATGTTGAGACATTAATCCGCTTCAGATTCTCTCATTTCCCAGAGAATCAGTCCCCTGGCACAGCTGTCCTCTCCCCTTTCCAGATGTGGTAATAAATCATCCATTTATCAAAGGCTCCATTACTTCTTTTTGCCTTTAGAGTACACATTTAGACCAGGACAACATTTGCTCATACTACATTTCTTACCAAAATGAGGCAGCCAACCCCTCAGTCCTTCTCATCTATCTACATATGTCTCTGCATCAAAGCAGCATGATCAAGCCTCATAATCCTGAAATTCCCCATCTAAAAGGATAGGATGGATTTTTCCACCTTTCTCAAGCTGGATGTAAGCACTTCTTAGCCCAAAGTCTATCTGTCCCTCTCCAGTAGATGTTTCCAAAGTTTCTTGATGGTGAAGTTAAAAATCCCCTCCATCACAGACTAGTAAATTGATTGTGTTTGGTTTGCAGTCCTTGATACCTACCTGGAGAAACCAGGGGTAGGATTCACTTGACTAAGGTGCCACGTCATTGGCACCTACAAGCAGCTACCTGCTCCCCTCCCAGGCCACATAGATCTAGTCAGCTCATAGCTCATCTCATCCTAAAATCAGTGCAAACATTTGGTCAAGGGAACTATACTCCAAATTCTAAGGACTATAAAGGAAGTTCAGGATGATTATTTCAGATGTAAGTGCTGTAAACACCTAAAGGCAGCTAAAAAGAATTCACCAGTAGTCCCTTGCAAAATATTTTACCAAAGTCTCAGTTGTATAACATATACTTGAGCATTATGTTTTTATCATCTTTTTTTTTTTTTCTACAGACACCAGCTCTCATTTTACTCACTCTCATGCTTGTGTCCCCATCCAGAAATCTGACATTTCCAATGGTCAGGGAAAACAGTGTTACTCTCCGGCAAGCAGATGGGCTGAACAAACTGGGATTTGACAGCACAACGTTGGCCATTCTTCTTCAGCTTAATCAAAGCTGCAGAACAGAAAAAACAGGAGGAAGAAAGTGACTGTTCCCTTTCTCTAATGGGATTGGCAGCAATGGGTCTCAGATACAAATTTAATTATCCCCTAAGCCTCTCTTAATTAAGATATTTCAATCAAAGACAGACAGACTCATCTCAACAGCACCTGATTTCACAGCAAATTGAAGGCTGAAACATTCAGCTACTCCCCTTGTGGGAATATTTATTTTATGCTGTGCTCACTGAGCACATTTTGCTTCACTGCCTTTGTAGAGAAAGGGGAAGGTAGAAAATACATATGTATCCTCCCACCTTATAGTTAAATAACAGTGACATATCCCCAACTTTCAGCTGAAATAAGTGGGATGTGCAAGTACCCACTGCTTCTGAAAGACTGGCCACTGGCCTAATTCCAATTCCATTTAAAAAATTAATTACACCAAGAGGTCTATTTTATGCTCTGTTATCACTGAGTTCAGCAAAATTCAAGATCTTGAAAATAAAGGAATAAAAACCCAACATATTTCAAAGCCAAGCTTCCGAAAAATCCTTATTAACCCCTTAAGGGGCTGAAAACAGTGTAAATATGAAGCTGTGCAGCATCATGAGATTGATACTGAAAGATTTTTAAATCCTGTAGCAGGTTCCCCTGTAGCAAATCTCTTTCATTTGGAGCAGCATAGGGAGCTTTGTATTTGGTGGAACAAGGGCAGCATGTTGGTTTGGCCACACCACTCAAAGAGAACAGAGCTGAGGTAACGCGGACACACCTATTAAACCTTCCCATCACACCTTTTGGAAGCTCAAGGTTTTGTGAGCACATCTGTGGAAAGCAAGTGATCCCACTGGATAGTCTTATTTCTCTACCAATTACAATTGTTGGCCTTGGTGGACGAGTATCTCACAGGTTGAGAAGCCCACACAAACCTTGCTCCAATACTCAGCAGCTTGTTTGTCCTCGCCTTCCTGCTCTTCCACGCTAACTCTGCCTGTTTCTGAATCCCCCAAACTTCCTAGCAAACACCCATGTGGTAGTTTGTTTCTCTTAGAAAAGGAAACAACTCTTCTGCCGCATCAGTAGAAATCACCAACTGAACAGACCACAACCTCACATCTTTCCCCTCAGTTTCTGCCTGTTTGTTTGTTTTTGCAATTGGGCTCGTCTTAGGCACTCCATGTTCAGCTCCCCCTCAATTTGGACATTGCTCGTGAGGCATGCCAAATTTCAGAGGCTATGAAGTGGTTTACATATGAAATGGTTTACACCAGGATATTTCAGAGCAAAGTAATGCCTCAAATCTAGTTCATCTGCTACACTGTGACAGAGCTCCCACCAACACAGAATCTGAATGCTTTTTGCATTCAGAAAATATTTGCCATCTGGGTGCAAAAAAGCCAGTACATGCCTGACCTAAAATATTCCTAATGTCAAGCTATTAAAGTCTCACAGACAAAGTGCTCATACAGCTTGATACCCTGGGGTGATGTGCCACCTTTCACAAGAGCAGATCAGAAAATAAGGAGTGAGTTGCTGTTCCATTGTCATTCTGACTAATATTATAAGGTCAATCAGAAGGGCATTTAACTTCTGACTGATAAGACAGCCAATTTTTAAACCTATCTCAGTGTAAAAAATGATTCTTAGTAAAACAGATTTTCAGAGCAGATGGGGTTATTATATTCATCTAGTCAGATCCTTTATACAATACAGACAATAGAATTTTACTAAGTAATTCCTGCATCAAGCCCACAGTTTCTGGTTCAGTTGAAAAAATGCCTAATCTCACAAAGACTTGAAGTGATGATGAATCTGCCACACACCTAGGTAAATTGCTCCAAAGGCTAATTATCATAATTATTTTAAATTTGCAATTTATTTTTCATCTGAATTTGTCTAGCTTTCAGATGCTGTTATAACTCTGGTAGAACTAAGAACCTCTGGAATCAAAAGCCTCTCCTAGTATCTATGATTTTTTCACTAGGAAGGCGGTTTTAACACACCAACTAAACTTGAAACTGAGTATACAGAAAATAAAACTGTAGGAACAAAAATACTCACCAATATCATGTTCAGTAGGGTTGAACACGGAATACTCAGGATGCAAGATATATTTCTCTATTTCAAATGTCTGTGTTACATCAGTCGTTTTGTTAAATATTTGCTGACCCAGAACTACTCTAATAGTGGATTTTAGGGGGCTGTAATACAAAAGAGAGAACAAGCAGTTCTGTGATTGACAGGACAAATGCAGGCAATTTTCCAATGGCTATGTATCCTATGAACTGGTATAACCTCAGCCTTCCACCACGTCCATTATTTACCCTTTCCTAATGCCTTGACCTGTTTCCCAGGCTTCCTGCCTACTGAGAGCAATGAAAAATATAACTAATATTACAGTGAGACTCAGGCTTTGTGGGTCCTGATTAGCCTCATGAAAGGCTTCTGCTTCTTGACAGAAGGGAAAGGCAAGCACAAGCACTGCTGCCCAGCTGCTGTCTGGCTAACAAGCATCTTTGGGGGCTGCAAACACTTCTTGTTCTAGAAACTTAACTGAGTCAACTTCAACCAGACTGTGCCAGTGAGTACAAAAATTACAGAGAAAGAAATGAGGGATCAAAATATGAGTCAGTGGTGGGTATCTCATTTCTCTGGGAAACCAGTCTCCTGAAAAATTAACAGTCATGGGCCAAGATTTGAAAGGTGCTGGCACATTCGCAACTCGAGAACATCTGGGCAGCCTCCACCTAAAAGATATCACCATTTCTGCTCTGAGATTAGATTGATCTATGTTAAATCTGTTGTCCAGAATCAAAGGCCACCTGGTGAAGGAAAGTTCCAACAGTACATGAATCTAATGGCAAACACCATAACCAGAGGAGAACACAGTTTTTGCAATTCACATCATCTTTTTCAACTATCATTTTTTTACTTTAAAAAGACCATAGTCCTCTCGTATCCAGTGTCCTAGGACAGAAAACTGATAAGGACCAGTAAGTACAGCACTTGGGAAGTAAGGGACATTTGGGAATAATCAGGAAATTGGGGAAAGCAATACATTCTCTATCTTTGAAAGCAACAGAATTCACATTTCACTCATTTTAAAACCAATTCAATCTTCATCTGCATAATTCTACAATGAATTTAGTTAGCAAGAGTCTTCAACATTGCAGCTCTCACATGTTTTGTTATCCAGAGCAGTAGAAGATATCTGCTGTCACACATCATGCATGGATGCAGAGTGGTTAACATCATTGCAGTTTCCCTGCAGTCATGGACTTGAGGAAAGAGATTCTGGCTCATTGCAATGCAGAGAGCCAGCATTCAGCCAGCCCTTCAACAAGAACTATGCTTAAGGTTAATAAAGGAAAATGCAATGTTTATTTTATACATGAGGTATGAAGAATACAAGAGGACAATAAAATGTTTTTTGATCAATATGCAAGGCCATGATTTTCTCAGTGTTGTTGCAGTGGTAAACCAATCTCCTTGCAAATCAAATTTTGGGCCTGTAAGACAGAGTGGAAGTTCACATAGATTTTAGAAGCACTGAATGGTTCTACTATGATTTACAAATGGCTCATTCAGGAAAAGAAATAAAACAGGAGGGGTTACAGAAAAGGGAAAACAAAGAAATAATTGAGCTGCGCAGGTATCTATTGTCGCCTAGTGGAAAACAGTTGGAATTGTGACTACCAGAGGTACTAAACAAACAAAAGAGAACAAATTACAATGCAGTAATTATGGAAAATCTTTATGTACCAAACCAGCAGCTGGAAGTGGGTGGAAATGTCCTGAATAGCTGCCAAAGTTAGTAGCTATTTCACAACATTTGAAAAACAAATGCATTGTGGCTTAAGTTCCAAATGCTTCAGTACAGCATTCACAGTGGTATTATTAGCTCTACAAGCTATCAGTGTATGTATTCTGGCACAAGGTTTCTGTTTCTCTTGGCTTCTTTACTATGCAAAGGAACAATAGGTATGAAATGATGTAATATTTTTCCCTTCAATGTGATCAAACTGAAATCAGGGAAAGTGTTCAACATTTGTAGACCATTAAGTATTTACAATAAAGTAAGAACATCCTATAGTCAATATTTTCTCCAGTGTCCCACAGGAGAAAAAAAAAAACATCTCTTTAGAAAATCAGCCTCAAAAGTTTAGTTCTTCCCTGTGGCTTTTTGTAAAGCTCAGCCCATTTTATTTGTGTCAACCAACAGTAATTTATTGTCTCCAATAAATCATTGCTTGGCTGTTTCAGCCTTTTTGAACAAAACACAGCAGTGAGCATAGTTGCCTCTGTTATATCTCAAAATAGCCATAAATATTTGAACAGGTAACTAAGAAGAAGCAAAATACTTCTACCCCCCTGCAGATTCTTGCACGTGCAAACTCCCATTCTATGTCCTACTTCACCCTACCTTTTCCTTTAGTCAGTTCATTTAGCTTCTTTGAGACTCCTTAAGGAACAAGATTATGAGATTACAGAACTCCAAGCTATTTTTTAGCTCATGAACAGCATTCAAATTGCCAGAAATTCCTTTTGAATTGGTCTTTTATAATCTCATCTTCTTTCTTACTTGTTTCAGTTCAGGTTTGTTGTGAGGACCCACTGTCACGTTAAGGGGTCAGTTTACCTGTTAGCAAAGCAGTGTGCTGCTGACACAACCCAACAAGTCTGAACCAGGCTTCCACCGCAGAAACTCCCTCCAATATATATAGCTGCTGTCCAGGGATGAGATCCAGGCAGAGATGAAGATCCCCCAACAATCCTAGGTCTCACAAAACTTCTTTTTTTATGTCTTCTCCCACATGGTCTTCTGGTAACTGCGTAAGTACCTACGTTGTCTGGAACTGGTGGCCTCCTTTCCCTGCTTGCTGAGATAAAAAGGGATATGGCATCAGACTATAAATCCGTGTGATTTCTGAGGACTATAACTTTTATAGATGTTTTTAAAAGAAAGGTTAATTAAAGTATGGAATCACAAAATAGTTCAAGTTGAAAGGGACCTTCAAGGTCATCTTGTTCCAAACTCCCTGCCATGGACAACAACACCTTCCACTAGACCAGATTGCTAAAAGCCCCATCCAACCTGGCCATGGACACTTCCAGGGATGGGGCATCCACAGTTTCTTTGGGAAACCTGTTCTAGTGTCTCGCTAACCTCCCAGTAAAGAATTTCTTCCTAATATTCAATCTAAATCTACCCTCTGTCAGTTTAAAGCCATTACTCCTTGTCCTGTCACTACAGGTCCTTGTAAAAAGTCCCTCTCCAGCTCTCTTGTAGCCCCCTTTAGGTAGTGAAAGGTTCTGTAAGGTCTTCCTGGAGCCTTCTTTTCTCCAGGCTGAACATTATCCTTAAACATTCACATAAAACTAAATTTTATTCAGTTCCTCAGGAGACTTGCAAGACAGAAGGTTATGCCTGTTCACAACACTGGCTACATGTGTACTAGTGTAATTTAAATTCATTTATGAACATTCCCAGACACTGTTTCATTTACCAGTACAAATACAACCTTCCCATTATGCATGACACATCACATCTTCATTTTTTGATTCTGGACTGAGCTTTGACATTGAGATAGCAAGGACCAAGGCATTTGTGTTAATATCATCTACCAAATGCTTCAGAACCATAAAAGAGAAATAAAAGGAACACATTATAAACCAACTTTTCAAATTAAAACTCTCTTCTAAAGGTTGGCTTCAACATTATTAACAGGTAAATATTATTTGAGGGGAAGAGCAGAATTTTTGGAATTAAATACTATGTCTCATACATCTTCAGAATACAGACTTTTCATTGCTCACAGGGGCCCATTCTCTTCTCTGGGCCCATAATTCCCAGAGCAATGACAATTTGTACCAAAGCATCAATCATTTCTGACACTTTGCATGTTCTAGCAGAAAATGTGAGGATATTGGGATTATTGTGACTGAAAACAGTAGTATGACATCACTGCTGATTCAGGACAAAAATCACAGATTTTATCACAACTCCAAAAGATGCAAAAGAAGCCTGTTGTCATTTGATTTACTGCAAACAGTAAAATATTAAACACTCCTGGGTACAGTAGAACATTCAAAGTTATACCACGAAAGCTTGTTGTTGTATCAATAAATTTTCTTCATTCATTCATAACAAGGATTTTACGTACCACAAGTTGGAATGTCACAATACTCCCAAGACAAACTGTTGTTCTTCATGATGTAACACCATGGCTTCTCATCATCATCTGGATTTCTAATTAATTCAAGGGGAGAGAGAATGACAAGCATTAACCACAGTGTTGTTCCAAGCTTCCCAGAGGTTTTCTGCTTTTTCCTCTTGCCCCATACAGAGCACTGACAGGACTCTCAGGTTTTGAGCCATCTGACAAAGTGCTGAAGCACCTGCTAACACCTACAAGGGGAATTCTTCATCTTAAAGCTAACCAAGCCTAAGGTTCTCTAGGACCTGAAATACAGACACATGACTAAACACCTGTAAAACTTGCCTACAAGTATTTGGATGCATGAGCATGTTCACAGGGTTTAACTACAGCCCACACTGAAGTGCTTTAACAGATATGAGCTCAGCTATTTTCAGAATTAAATCCCATGGGAGAGATTCCTTTTTTTAGGTTATTTTTTAAGTGAGGAAATTCCAACACAGGTAGATTCATAGAAAATCCATAACAAGAATAGCTAGCAAAAATGAATTTGCAAAGCTCAGGTTCCCATTCCCTGGAGACTCTGAGGAAATGAAAGACTACCTCAAGAAAAAATTGTATTCCTAAAACGGGGGGGGGGGGGAAGGAGTAAAGGAAACCATTTAGCCCTTTGTTACCGTGGTGTCAAACAGGTTTTGGTTTGATTCCATTAGGATTTTTCTGTGGTACAGTGTGATTGTCTTTATCAGTGCCTTATAGGTTACCAGAAATTTGCCCAGTTTACTTCTTCAAGAGTATAAGGGGACTTTGAAGACCCAAAAAGATCTTTACTAAACCAAGAAAAATGGACAAGGTAATTTAGGGCTCTAGATAAACAGTAATTCTAATTTCAGTTGGATTTATCACAACCACTATCTGTTATTGTAAGATTCTTCAATAATTTTTTTCTTTTTCAATCTGACTGCTCTTCAGAAAAAGATTAGAGCACTTTCAAATTCTCAGAACTGAAGAAGCAACACGGGTTGAGTCATCTTCTGCCAACAATGTTTCTAAATTTGACTATTTGAAGAAGATATCTGCAGGATTATATAGTGGAGCAGAGATATCCCCAGAAATTGTAACAAGCTGACAAAAAAGTGAAAAGCTTTTTTCTCAGCTCTACAGAAGATGAACACATCAGCTCCTACACCATTTTGTTCTTTGCATTTCAAATCCAAAAGTGAATATTGGGCATAAATGATGTAAATCAAAGGGTTCAGGTTTTATCAGAGCATAAAATATGTGCCAGATAAATTTCCATGCTGTGCTGGGACACCATAAATCAAATACCAAAGTGCTTGCATGAAGCAATTTGGGAGGGTTCAAAGGAGGGGGTAGAAATTGCTTATTGTTAGTTTGTGTTAGATAGAGAAGAGCTATTTCAGCATGCATGCATGCTTTTTATCATCAAACAAATTAGGAAGTGCAGCACATTCTGGTTTTCCTGACACACTGGTCTAACTTCTGTGAAAAAAACAAACAAACAGAAAACTAACAAACAAAACTTTATACATCAACCAGTGATTTATGGAGAATCATCCAAAGTTTGCCGGTTTTAGCATTTGCTCATCTCCAGGATGAGAGATGTTCTCTCTAAATTGACCTCATCTAGACCTCAGAAATGGGGGGAACATAAGGTGACTGAGGAGAAGGCACAAATCTATACAGCACAAGATATTTTCAGTATAGCTCAACAGAAAACTTCAGCAGAAATGTAGTTTATCAGTATGTGGTTCAGTCAAAATTGTAACACTGTGAAATCTTATTTGGCAATATCTTTGCTTTGTAAGAAATCCAAGAAATAAATTTGACATCCCATCTCAATATTATTTCAATATAGTGCTTTGATGCTTCATTTTTAAATAATTTTTCTCTTTTGAAAATATTTTTCCTTTATGATATATCTTTCACAAGCAAAGAATAAGAAATTAAATTTAACAATTTCAATTTAGATACTGCATTGCTTTGTCCTTTTGGACAGTCATTAATGAACAATTTCAAAAATTTTGCACTGTGGTCTCATTTGAAAAAATAAACATCCCCCAGAGAAAAAAAAGGACTTGGTATTTCTAACATTATTTTGTGCCTGAGCTTCTCTTGGCAGACCCAGCTATTGATTTAGCCTATTACCTGGTCTTGTCTTCTGTACAGTCCCTCTTGTCAGGCTGCTAAATTCAATCTAGATTTTCTGAGACAGGCAAAACACCTGCTTCCAGATTCCTGGCCTTTCTTCTTTCCACAATACATCCACGTCTTGCTGCACAAATACAGAGCAAACAAGAACTTTCCTCACCTGCAGTAAGGGAACGGCCCCAGGCCAAGCTGTACTGCTTTCCCAATGCTGTCAACGTGAAGCTCTTGGTAAAGCAGGTCTGAATCCCAAGGCAAGCAGCTGTGCCCAGAAATGGTTGTCTTGGCCATACCTCTGTACTCTGTGCCATTGCCAACATAGCACCGATGGCTCGGAACTGGCAGAGAGAGAGACTGGTCAGGAATCAATGCTAACTGCATGTTCAATACTTACTTCACAGCTGTGAGGTCCTAAATGAGAGCCAGCAGGCCCAGTTCTGTAAAGTGCCTTTGATGTTCCACAGGAACTGAATGCATCAAATGAGGATTTTTTAAAAAGTAACCCAAGTTACACATGCACAAATAATTACTCAAGAGGCAGAACAGCAGAAAATTACCTAAAATTTGTACTGTGTATGGAAGATTTCAGTCAGCAATCTGCAGCAAAGTCAGCAATATGAATGGGATTCCTCTGGTCTGATTTTAGACACAACTGAGCTCATCGCTGGGAACTCCCTTTTTAGTCAATTAAGAGAAAAGGGATTGCTAGTGCCATACTGATCCAACCTGTTTGAGGTGACTTTTTTAAGATGTGGTGGATCCCATACACTCCTGTTCACATTGACTGAATTTCCAATGACAATATACAATGCTTAGGGCAACCAGCTCAAATACAGATGTATGTGTTGAAAAGTACTGAAAACAATCCTACCCTGCTAGCAAGTGATTAAAAGGCCTGATTTTTGAAAATACTTATTATGGCCTCATGTGTACCCATATATATATACACTATAGTTGTATATATTACATACATGTAGCTACATAATGCAAACACATCTATTTTGCAAAAATTTAACTAGTAGGTTGAATTTTCTTATTCAAAAGCCATTTCTTTGTCACCTGCATGTAGCTTATTTCTTCAGATAGGTCTAACACATACATATTCTATGACCTATATGCTCAGCTGCCAAGATCTATCAACAGCACATACCAGCATTAGGCTGAAAAACATATGGGGATGCATTTGTATACAAATAACTCCACTGACGAGAAAGCCTACACCTCAAAACACAGCTCAGAGTATCCCAAAGGAAACAGAAAACCATCTAATGCACAAAGAGGATTAATTGTGACCAAGCCTCAGAAGGTTTCTTATCCCAGCCATGTCACTGACTTATCCTTGACATCTGCAAGACTGGCGGAATCTTCTTCTAAACTTACAGGCATACTTACAGATATAACATCATGATATTGCCTGACTGTTGAAAAACACACTGTGAGGATGATCCATCATACTACACAGTGTAGACAGCTATTGCCAAGGATCTGTTTATTCTGACAGAACAAGGTGACACGTGAACCAGGGCCCATAACCAGCACTGAATCCAGTGAATTGCAGCACTGAACTGCTGATGTCAATTAGTCATCAGTGTAGTGACAGACCTCAAAACTACAAGCAAGCACATGGCATAAATTTGGGAGCTGGAAGTCAAGAAGTTTGGTGCAAGAACTTCAGTGCAAGTAAGTATTCAAACACCTAGCAAAATTCACTCTCTAGCTTGGCCTGGCAGACACTTTTGAGATGATGAGACCACAGTTTGTCCCACCGACACCCTGAACCAAATTCCCTTTATTTCAATTACTATGAATAAAACATTAAATCAAACTTATATTTTAACAACCATAATCTAGGAGCTCACAGAAAATAATTTGTTTATCATTTGTATTGCTAGCAATAGTAACCATGTCTTGGCAATCCTGCCACGTATTTTCTGGGCAACTTGCAAGTTACGCTGCTTTGTTTGCCTGAAACGGTGTCATGAAAATACCACCATCGTGCTGTATGCTAAATTCTTTCATATTTCAAGTGCAAAATGCTGTTTTTATTTGTACCCTACTTATTACATTCAGAAACCATTTAGAGTTGACTACATTTATGAGGATGAAACAAGAGATTCTGTTTCAGTGTAAACCAGGGCCACGTTCTGCCATACCAATGGTTTGGACATCTTGCAGATAGTGTTTAAAAGTTGTGCTCATCCTTGTCAGTCTTAAAATCCAATGTATCTCTGTTTCATCAGGTCTGCCAGTCATTGCTAAAGCTGCCAGAATATTTTAACTGGAAGAGTTTGGCTCCTTTTTAAACCATTCCTCACGTTCTCCTTCTGTAACTAAGAAGTTTAGATTTCATCTTGCACTTGTTGACAGCAACAGTAATATCTCTCAAACAGTTTTTTGTTTCTTTTTGGTTTTATAAGGAGTATTTTGGGCACAGACATAACATGACTTAATCTCATGTCTTGTGGAGAAGCTTCTGAGTTAACACAGTTGTTTCATTAGTAGCTTTCCATTGGTCTGTGCTTCACTCCAGCAACCTTTACCTGACTGGTTGGCAGCAACACTCTGGTACCCACAGTGGCTCTCATTAATGGGTTCTTCATTATGTAACTAAGGCCATGAGAAGTATATGCAAAACCCAATACATTTTATCACCTATAATTCAGGACAAACAGTTTTCCAAAAAAAAAATCTCTGCAACCATTGAAGTCATATAGACCTTTTTCCTCTAATTCTCTTTTTTTGAGCTGTTACAGCACTGAAAAAATCTCTTTTTCCCTCTTTGTCAGAAATGGTGTGTAGGTGATCTGCTTTCAGTAGTTCTTAATGGGTTGCTCTGATTGGGAATTGTTCATTCCCAAATCTGTATAGGTTGTACAATGTCTGATAACTCCAAAACATATTTATGTTCTTATGTGTAAGAAAGTAATGGAGGACATAATATGCACTTTTTTCTTCATTCACTTCCCTGTGCTACTGCCAATCACTATGTTAAGAGTAGAAATGGCCTAAACATTCATATTATGAAAGTTTTGATGCAAATGCAGATTCAAGTTACTCCATAATCCTATGCCACTTTCACTATTGTTCGTTTCTTTTGGGGAAAAAAAAATTTAAAACTAGAAATAATTTCCTGTCATGTTTTATTTTTAAAATCCAAGATATTGCAACAGTTCACATAAAACATTCCAATTGTATTAGGGTGGCATATTTTATCAGCATGTCACACCAAGTCTTTGCCTTTTAATTTTTCAATAAAAAGCAGGTTTGGGCCTTAAAATTAACATCAACCTGAAATAGCAGTTATACAACCAGTTCTAATTGCTAACTGCCTGAAAACATTTCACAAACTTTTTATCTCCAGATCTTTTTTCAAGTTCTATAGTTACATACCTGAATATTTTAGGAGTTTGCTTTGGAAGTCTTTCTGCAGCAAGCAATGTATCTTTCAGATTTTCTTTTCCTCAAAACATCTCATCAGCAATTTTCCTAATGTTTTTGAGCTTTGAATGTATTTTCCTTCCAGATACACATAAGCTATTTCATTCTGGTAATAAAAATACATTTTTCCCCTGATAGTCCTAATTCTGGGACAGCAAAGTTTTAAGTAATCCTTTCATTCAGAAATGCTTTGTTTTCTCCCTGACGAACCTGTAATGTTTTTATTAAATACAATGTTAGAATATATATTTTTTTTATTGCTCTATGTAAGCTGAAGACAGGAAGGGAGAGGGGGGAAGAGGAAAAGGATATGCATTTCCTCTCTGCTTACAAATGCCTTTACAAGTGGTCTTCTCCAGTGTCTAAAATATCAATTACCCTAATGGAAGAGTTCTTAGAAAATCATAAACTAAAACAAAACATTGGTGGAATTAAGAGGATATCCTCCATCCAGAGCTTTCCTGGAGCACATTTCCACTCCTGTTGCAGTGTCTCAGGAAGCCCCAGAGCTGGAAGCTTCAAAGGCTGGAGTGCTTTGAGCCTAAGCCCTGCATCACCTGTGCTGGTCTGAGAAAGCACTCCAGCACTCACTAGGTAGCAACTGGTTTGCAAGACAGGGCGCTCATATATCTCCAAAGTCTTCCTAATACGTCTACAAATGTATATTTTCACCTAAACCTGTTTCATTTATTAAAAATCATAGAATCACAGAACATGCTGAGTTGGAAGGGACCCATCAGGATCATCAAGTTCAGCTCCTGGCTTGCACAGGACATGCAAGAATCATACCATGTGCCTGAGAGCATTGTCCAAACACTTCTTGAACTCAGACAGGCTTGGTTCTGTGACTGCTTCCAGTGCTCAACCAACCACCAGATGAAAAACCTTTTCCTGATATCCAACCTAAACCTGCCCTGACTCAGCTTCATGCCATTTCCTCAAGATGAAATGCAATGAACAATAACATTTTATGGCTCTGTATAAGTTTATTGCTTACACAGCCTCAGCACTGCAGGATGGGTTGCTCTTCAAGGCATCCTTTACACAGATAATTTCAAGTTTCCTTTCTGTGTGAGCTCAGCAGATGAGCTCAGATGCTTGCAGAAGGGTCTGTCTTTTCTTGATTCACCTAGAAGTTCCCTGACCTCCTTTCCTGGGCATCTGTGAGATCCCCTCAGAGATGTAAGGTGTGAAAGCCTTTGATTTCAGGGAGCTGCACTTCCCCCATTGCACACACAGCTAACCACTCGTCTAGGCCAGCAATAAGTGTGTGACAGAAAGGAGTCTCCAGTAGACATTGCTCTTACAGGCATCTCATTTCATCAAATATCACACTGAAACACAACACACAGAGACGCACACCCTGCCAGGTATTCTGAAAGTAATAAGGCAAATATTCCCGTGCAAAATGAAACTAACACCATGCAGAGAGCTTTGAAAGACATCTACATTAACTTAGCCCTGCTTCCAAAGGAAGATTTGGTTTATCTTCCAGTGCCACTGAAAATCTCTGTAGATATCTGGGAAGGTGCTCAGGTGGGCACAGACTTCACAGAAGAAAGCAGTTTCCTTTTTTTTTCACTCTTTAATGATAAGAATGTGAAGTCCAATGATTAGAGGCAGAGGGCTGCATGGCAGCAGCCTCAGGACTGGACTGTTCCTGGCTTGAAACAAATTGCTTCCCATTTTCACTCCTGTCTGTGAAAGTGAGAATAACAGCACCCTCTGTAGCTTTCTGAGTTTGAAAATTAAAGATGACATCCCACAAGTGAAGTATAAGGGAAGCTATATATCTGTATAGCTATATTTCTGTATCATTCAGTCATACACTTATAATATTTGCCTAGATTTCAATGTTTCTGTTTGGGCTCATGATTTCATACAATGGCAGATTGCACTG